ATTGGGATTTTAATAGATGAAACTTGGAAGAAACATGTCAGAGCAGTTAAAAAACCTAGCGAATATATGATAGAAGTAAAGCTACACTTCAAACAACTAGTACTAATAGTAATAAGAGTATATATTCTACTAAATAACAAGGCAACTAGTAAGAAGATATAGCAAAAAATTGTAGAAATAGTAACAAACAAGAGAAAGCATAAGGAAATAATTATACTTGGAGATTTTAATTATATTATTGACAATGTACTAGACAGATTGCACCTACAAACAACAGAATATAAAAAACTGCCAGTTTTTAATTAGCTCAAGAAACAGGACTTTATGAACTCTTTCAGAAACCTGTATTCAACAGAGAGAGCATACACATGATTAAATCAAAAAGCAGCAACAAGAATTAACTATATCTGGTTGTCAGAAACAATTATAGCTAGCCTTCAAGAAGCCAATATAAAAGAAGCAAAAGGCATAACAGACAGTGACTATAGGATATTAACAACAGTTATATAGTTAGAATATATAATTGCAAACCAGAGTTGTGCAGAAACTAAATGCAAAGACCAAATAAGAACAATATATTTGTATAAAGAAGCAAAGCAAGAAGACTGGAAAGAATATGCCAAAGAGCTTCAAGTACAATTAGAGTAAAAAAAAGATGCTGAAACAATTAAAAAAAGACAGAGAAGTCAATATGTACAGTACAGATATGTTAGATCTTATATAGAATGCAATAGAAGAAGCTATAATAGAGGCAGCAAATAAGCAAATTCCAAAAAAGAAAATATTTAACACAAAAGCAAACAGAAAACATTATCAGAAGAAGTTATAACAAGATAAAAACATAATCAAACTCCAACAAATAATTAAAAAGGTGAAAACAAGAAGAAACCAAAAGATAAGAAAAGAAGAAAAAGAAGAGATAAACAATAAACTTAAAAACATTGGCAAGAAAATAGAAGTAGCATTACCAAAGTTATATAAACAATAGTCAAAAGCATGGATAGATGATATAAAAGACTAGCAAAAAATTTTAAAAGATAAAAAAAAAAAAGAGTAAGAATAAGCTCAAAAAAAACAGATAGAAAAAAATATAAATAAAAGATGTGAGATGATAAAAACTGACCAAGATTGATGATTGCTAGCCTACTGAATAAATCATACAAGAAAATAACTTTGGACAGATTTATAATCCAAAATAAAGATGAGGTTAGACAACAACAGAACCTAAGGCTGTCTTAAATAGTTTGGCAAAGCATTTTAAAAATTAATTCAAAAAGTGAAGAACCAAACTAGAGAAGATGTTAGAGGAATGGATAAAGATGTACAGCCCAAAAGAGTGAATTAAGAAGTCTTGGTCTAAAAAGTTAAAAGAAAAGCTAGAAGAAGAAGAATAAAAAAACACACTAAGAGAACTCAAAGCCAATATAGCCCTAGAAATTTCAGGCATAAGCTATATGTTAATAAAACAAGCAAGAAAGAAATCATGAAAAATTTTCAGAGCCTTTGCAAATCTAGTTTTAAAAATGAAAGAAATGCCAAAAAAGTAAAAAATAGCACAAATTTATCTAATCTCAAAAAATGTAGACTGGAAATATAACTTAAACAATATTAGACCAATAGTATTAATTGAAACTTTTAGAAAGTTAGTTATGAAGGTAGTAATAAGAAGGCTGGCCAAAATATTTACAGAAAGATAAATACTCAAAAGGCTAAACTATGCAGATTTGCCTGGCAACTCAACAGAGCAACCAATATATATGCTAAACATAATAATAAAGGAAGCACAAGAGAAGAATAAAGAAATATGAATACTTCTACAAGATATGAAGAAAGCATTTGACTTAGTCTTATTGGAAAGCTTAGAGTGGACTTTTAGAAGAATCAAAATATCAAAAAGAACAACAAAATATATTATTAACCTTTTCTACAAATATCAACTTAAGGTGATCACAACTTATGGCCTAACAAAAGAGATAACAGCAAGAGATAGTATAGATCAATGAGAAGTAATTTTTTTACTAATCTGATAGCTTTTCTATGATTCACTGTTAGAAAGAATCCAAAAAGATAAATCTCTAGACTATATAGTAAAACAAGAAATACTAAAAAATATGAATATTAATTGTATTACAAAACATAGGCAAGCAGCAATTGCCTATGCAGATAATACAATATGGATCACAAATAGCAAAAATTAATTACTAAGAACTCTTGAAATTGTAGAAGAGTTTTTCAAAGCAAATGATATCAAAATAAATAAAGCTAAGTTAAAGCTCATAGTAATGAATTTTAGATTGAGAAAGAAAGATAGAGAAATTACATTTGAACAGAGTAGAATAACAGAAGAACCAAAAAGCAAAATTGTAAGATCACTAGAAATTTAGCTAATAGCAGAATGAGAGAGTCACTAGTCTGCAAAAAAGCAAAAAGAATAGTTAGCCAAACAGTTAGAGATCTCAGATACAAAAAAATGACAATAAGCCAGATTGTGTATATAAACAATATAGTAATAATTTCAAAATTAGGATACCTTTTGTAGTTAACAAGAATGTCTAAAAAGATGATTGACAAAATTCATTAGCCAATAATATGTTTGGCAAAACACAAATGTAATATAATAAAAACAACAAACAACTGCATAATTGAGTACAAAGATTTAGGAAACTGTAAAATAACAACAAAACAAATAAGTAGTTTATTTATGAGACTTAATAGAAAAGACATTTTAGGTAATCTAACAAAGCTTAGGATAGCTCAAGAATGTCAGAAAGTAGGCTTAACAAAAGATATTTAGGACTCTGAAAGAAGACCAGAAAAAGTGAAGTATTGAAAATACAACTTAGCTTGTCAGACAATAGTAAAAGCAAGAAAGATAGAAATAAGCATCAGAGCAGAAAATTGTCTATAGAAAGTACACAGTTATGGAATAGATATAAAAGAATTAGTAAGGGTTGGATTATGGATAGCAAGCAATAATACAATAAACAAAAGAAGTTTAAAATATCTGAACCAGCTTGTAAACATAAAAGAAAAGAACCTAATCATATAAAAACAGCTCAAAAGTCTTTTAGAGTTGTCATGCAAAGAAAAAAAAGCCAAATAGTTTAGTAAAATAGAAGAAAAGATATTAAAAATACAGACAAATAGAGAAATATATAACCAATACAAGATTAGTGGCCACAACATATAGGCACTAATGATCAATTGGACAAAGATATTAGAAGACAGAAAAAAGAGAAAATGGATTGTACATGAACCAAAACACAATCAGCAACTTAGTAAGATATCTAAAAAGAAAAAGATCTTTGCTAAGCACTGGCTATTACAGAAAGTAGAAGACAAGAGATATACTGAAATAAGTAAATATAAAGGTTGTGAAAACAGAACAGAACAAAGCACAGATAATTGCAAAAGGTGAATAAGATGAAACAATAACATAAAAATAGTTCCAAAAATATTAGTAAAGAAAGGCAGAAACAAGATTAATGCAACATTAGAACAAATGCTAGAAAACAGATTAATAAAAAAATGGAAAAAAGAAGAAAGAAGTCTAATCAAGCTAAAACAAGTAGAAGAACTAGAAACAAAATTAATCAAAAAACAAAAATTCAATGATAAAGTTACAGATTACTTAATAGAAGTCCTAACAAAAAACAAGAGAAGAAACAAAGACAAATATACACTCTATACAGATAGTGCATTATATAAAGAAAAAAGAAAAAATAGTATAGAAAAGATGGGCATCAGTTGGGTGCAGGTTAGTGACAAAGAAGACTGGCCAGAGAAAGAAATAGCATTGAAACTTGAAAGTTGGCTCTTGGCAATAACAGCAGAATTAGCAGCAATATAGTTAGCAATTCTAGTTTATCTTTAACTGAGATAGTATGGCAGGTTGCACTTAGGTACCAATAGGATGGCTGAGTGATGCTAGACTTGAGTATTGGAAAATTCTATGTAATTATAAATGTATATAGTTTTAAGAATCTTAATAAAGTACTAGTGTAACTGCTTAAGATTAAAATAATAATAATAATAATAATAATAATAAAAATTTGTTATAACATATATTTGTTTTTGCAAAAGGTAACTTTGCAGAAACTTTAAATTTTGCTAAATATATTTATTATTATTATATAGCAAAATATTATATAGTTTATTATAGTTTATATATATATAAATATTGTAAATATATTATAAATATATTATAAATTTATTATAAAAATAGGGAGTTGTTATTGCCACCTCCCAATTTGTTATTGTCACCTCCATGTAATATGTATATGATGTAATATATATCAATATTAAATTATAAAACATTAATTATTTTAAATCGGGTTAACAAAACAATTTTAACCATTAGTTTGGCTGAATTAAATAGTTAAGCATAATAGCGTAGTTAAACAATAAGTGCTTTTTTTTTTTTTTACTCTTTGATTCATATTACATTGTTAATTGATAAAAAAAAAATCGACCCATGCCACAAAATTGATAGTGAATTATGTAATGTGAAGTGTAGCTTATAACAGTTAAAAAATCAGTAGGTTATAGCTTATAATAGTCAAAAAATCAGTGAATTATAGCTTATAACAGTTCAAACTTCAGATCAAATGTAGTACAGCTACTGTCTAAATATCATGCATGTTATATATCATACAATTGATTAATAATACATATAATTAGTCCATATGAAATATAATATGATATATAGCTAAGCAACATTTAGGTAGTAAATGTACTATGTTTGATTCTAATTATCATGCGCATTAAGAATGTATCATAATTGCATGTACAGTATACAAAAGTTAAATAATTTTTTTTAGATAAAGAGATAGAAGAAAGTAGAATCAAAACTATAAATATCTATTTTACCTGAATTTAATAAAATCACCTTTACCCATATCTACAAAATTCTTATTGTTTCTTGAATCTGTTAAAAATTATAATTGTATTATATCTCTTACCTAATAACTACTGCAGTTACATATTACTGTATTATCAAAATGCTTTCATCTGCATCTTGCCAATTTACAAGCTGTAATGAACTTCTTAATTATGTTCAAAATTTCGCTAGGGCCCAAGAATATGCAGTAACTGTAAAGAGATCACGTAGTGATAAAAATGGCAAAATCAAGAATGTGTTATTAAAATGTAATAGAGGTGGTTCTTATAGAAACTGATTAAATTTGATAACCAATACACATGGTCAACAAACTGCATCCAGGCTTTCAGGATGTCCATTTGAACTCTATGGATCTAAACATAATAATGTTTGGTTTCTTGAAGTTAGAAACCCTATTTATAATCATGAAGCATCAATAAATATATCTGGGCATCTAATAGTTTGCAGATTAGATGCTGGTCAATTAGATCAAGTTCGATGAATGCATGTTGCCGACTTCCACCCTTGTTAGATTTTATCAACGATTCATCAAAATGATCCTTCATTCATGGCTATATCAAGAATGATTTATAATGCATTATACTTGATTTGCCAAGAAAGACTTGATAGCAGAACATCAATTCAAGCTTTATTAGATGAATTGCAAGGATCGGATTTTGAGTTTGAATATAAATACGATCATCAAAATCATATCATGCATCTTTTTTTTGCTCACAAGTTATCTATTGCCTTAACTCATATCTATCTTAGTATATTACTAATAAATTGCATGTATAAAACAAACAGGTATAAGATGCCTCTATTAAATATTATTGGTATATCAAGCTTCAACATGATGTTCTTTTCCTGTTTTGTTTTCTTGAAAGACGAAACAGAAGCAGATTATGAATAGGCCTTATCATGTGTTTCAAGAATTTTTAATAAAATTTCATATTCTAATGTCATTGTCACTAATAGAAAATTAGCATTAATAAGTGCTATTAGTAAAATATTTCCAACTACAAAACAAATCCTATGCATTTGGCATATAAACAAAAAATATTAGCCAAATGTAAATGTCACTTTGATATGAAAGAACAATGAACCGAATTCATGAAATTGTGGCAAACAATCATAGGATCTATTAATGAACAAGAGTTTACAATTCAATGGAATAAATTCATGAAATGTTATGAAAGTAAACCTAATGTACTTAATTATATTAAAGAAACCTGGATCCTATATAAAGAATATTTTATTTCTGTCTGAACTGATTGTTACTTACACCTTGGTAATAAAGAAACTTCATGAGTAGAAGGCACTCATGCCACCCTCAAAAAATGTTTACAATCATTCATGAGTGATCTTGAATCTGTGTATCAAAAAATTGTATTGCAAGTAGAGTCCTAAGCAAGGGAAATTCAAGCAATAAATTCTTCTGAACATATGCAAGTATGATATACTTACCAAATCACTTTATTTGAGCCTCTTTTGTGTCATATATCCATTTTTGCTTTAAAAAAAATTTATGATAAATAGATAAAAGCATCAAATATAGCTCAAAATTTACCTTTACACCCTTGCAAAAGAACCTTAATATCTACAATGGGACTTTCATACTCACACATTATAAGCAAATGCCTAGCAACTAGACAACCATTACAATTAGATTATATCCGCAAACAATAGTGGATTCAGAGTTGTCACTTTGAATTCTTAGAAGATTTCACACACCCTGTAGATAGTAGTAATGCTGATCTTCAACCTTTATTACAAAGTCTTGCACAACAATATCATTTCTGGCTACCACACCAACAGGCTGCTGCCTATGCTTAACTAAAAGAGTTAGAACACATACCTCCTATTGTACTAAAAGATCCAATTATTACTAAATCACGAGGAAGGCCAATTGGTGCAAAAAACTGAAGCCAAAATTCAATGCAAAGAGATCTGTCAACATTTGAGCTTATTGAAAAATGTCCAAGACAGTGTAGTATATGTCATGAAACTAGACACAATTGCTGAACCTGTCCTAATATATAAAGCTGTAGTTCTATAAAATAGATATGAGTATTACTTTTTTGTAATTAGCTATGTACGTATGTACCTACAAAATTAGTATATATCAGATATTTGCAAATAAATGTAATGATAATCAAAATACACACAATATAGTATGTTGGTGTTCATATTTGCTATATATATCATATGAATTTTTAATATTGTTGTGTGACAAATCAGTAAGTCTGTTGCTAATTCTTTCCAATTCTCATGTAACCTTCGGTAGCTAAGTCAAAATAGATGTGTTAGATTTGGCTAGGTGGTTTATCTGTAGGTAAGTACTATTCTTCTCTTTCAAGTCTTTCCTTTAACCTATGCTTCCTTTAACCTTGGCCTTCTTTTATCCTCTCTTTTTTTCCTTATCCTAAGAATACAGTACATCAAATTAAAGTTGGGTCCTCTCGCATTAACAGCTTGGTCACATGACTTATGGCGAATGAACAAAATGCGGTTTAGTAGTTTACAAATGGGTGAATGATAGTTTATGATGATAGTTTTAATGATAGTTTATTAGCTTGTGTCAGGTTATAGTTTCACTTTAATACTGGGTTAGATACTTTAAGTTTATTTAATCAAATGTATTTACTTAAGGGTATCACTATTACTTTCCCCCCTAGGCAGGAAGCCTTTTATTTATAATAAAAGTTTTATTTATATTTGGTTTATTTCTTCTGCATTATCTATTTACATTACATCTCTCATAAGACCCATTTCCTTTCTATAATCATGAAAACCCAAATGTTCTATATGCCATCGATCTACCTGAAGTAACCAAAGTAATAAAAGTAAGAAAAGTAAGATAAATCTTATTTTTCATGTGACTAATCACTCGGATAGGTGATGGGTTCCAAAAATGTAATGATCGATCATATGTTATGTGCGACTGTGACAATGTGATACTGATTCCAGGGCTCACAATATGTAACACATAGTTTATATATCATATGGAGGTGGCAATAACAAATTGGGAGGTAGCAATAACAACTCTCTAAAAATATTATAAAAATATAATAAAAATATTTTTTAAAACTATTAAGTTATTAATAACTATATAATTATTATATATTTTAAATATATTTAATATATAATTAAAATATTTTAGCTATATAATAAATATATTTATAATATAAAAAAATAAATATAAATATTTAATTAAATAATTACTACAATAACTTTATTTGTTTATTAAATATAATAATATTATTAATAATATTTATTAGTAAAATAAATAATTATATTATATATTAAAATTTTACTATAATTATATTTTTTAAAAAAACTATTTATAGCAAACAAATTTACTTATAAAACAATAGTTTGAATTCTAATAAAAAAATTTTTTGATAAATTTTATATATAATTTAATTATTTTTAATTTTAACTTTAACTTTAATATTTATAATTTTATCTTTAAAATTTAAATATTTATTTTTTAACCTTTTTACTATATAATAATTATATAATTAATAGTTATTTACAAGAAAGTTAATAGAAAAAAAATATAAAAAATATATTTTAATTATATTTTTATCATATATTAATTATATTATAAATATATTTAAAAAAATTAAAATTTTTAGTTAAAAAAGTATTAAAAACAGAAACTTAAGAGGTTGAATTGTCTTCTACAGAGTTATTTATCATTTGAAGCTTGGCTTGCATAGCTATAAAGAGTACTATAGTCTTCCCTATATATTGGATTCTTTGGTCAGAGCTTTTGTAATATTAAACAACTATTATTTTAGATATCCAAACAACTATTGACTAAAATAAAATACTATAAGAAATCTATTAATAAAATAAATATTAACCTATTAAATAGATGATTAAAACTAATAAAATAATCTATAAACTATGTAAAAATATTAAGAAAAATATAAAATATAATATAGAGCTAAAAATAAATATTTAATAATATAAAAAAAAAAGTAAATTCTATTATAATATAATAGGTTATAATAGTATTTGCTTTGATAATAATAAAGTTGATAAAATTAAAACTTTTTTTATCTCTGTGAATTTGTGTCAGCTTTGAGAATTTATAAGACTAATATCTTATTACTACTAGTTTATTCTAAATTTCACTTCTATTATTTGTCTACTAAATTATTTACTAAAAAAGAAGATTATGTATAAGTAAAAAAAAAACAAAAAGATGTGTTTTAAAAACTAAAATGCTACTTAATTAAAGCTTCTATATTGCATTATCTAAATTTTGACAAACTTTTTGTGGTCTATACTGATGTGTATAATTATAGTTTAAGTGCAGTTTTGGTACAAAAAGATGATTTTAAAAATAAGTATGCCATTTTATCTACAAGTTAAAGTCTTATTAATGCAAAATGTAACTATACTATTATTAAACTAAAGTGTTTAGCTGTTTTGTGAGCAATAAAATACTTCTAGCACTATCTTAATTTGGATCTCTTTATTGTTGTCACTAATTATGCAACTTTGAAATAACTTTAAGCATCATAATTAACTAAATATCATGCTTTATAATTATTACAAATGCAATTTTACAATTTTATAATAATTTATTGTTATGATTATAAAAACAGTAATGCTAATGCATTGTCTCAAATTTCTGAACTACTAAAATTTACCAATCAATATTATAAAATATAACTAAAAAAAAAAAAAAAAAAAAACAAAATAAAAAATAATAATAATATGTATATCTATATAAGTACCAATAAAGATTTTTTAGTATATGTAGTTGCTTATAACAGTTATATACAAAGTTAAAGAATGTATGACAAGAAGAGAGCCAAAAAAAATATATCTTTTATATTAATAAAGCATTATATAAGAAGAAAAAAGAAAATAGTACAGAAAGAATAGATATTAGCTAGGTATAAGTAAAAGATGAAGAAGACTAATTAGAAAAGGAAACTGCATTAGAACTTAAGAAATGGCCCTTAGTAATGATAGCAAAATTAGCAGTAATATACAGCAATTTTAACAATACAAGAAAGAAAAAACATAGAAGTATATACAAACAGTATTGCAGTATTAATAAATATTAATAAAGCAATTCAAAATGTAAAAAAGAAAAGAACTCCAAAAAAAAAAAATATAATATGAATAATGAACATTGTAGATCTTATCAAGAGCAAGAACATTAAAATAGAAATAATTAAAGTTAAAAGTTATAGTAAAGATAAGTGAAATAACAAAACAGACTTTTTGCAAAAAAAAGAGCAACTTGTAAAAATATAAAACATGTAAATAAGATCAAGTGTGATGAGATAGAGTACTATTTAGAATAAGAAACAAGAAATTGATATATTAGCAAGACTTCTGTATAAAATAATAGCAAATGCCAGAATTGAAGTCAGTTGGAGAGAAACAAACCAAATAAAAACATTAGAATCAGAAATAAAAAACACATTATATAATTGATTAACTTTCTAAAAAGAAATAAATAGAACAAAAAAAGTTGAGGATATGGTGATCTAGTGAAGTGAATAGGTTGTTAACTCATAAGTAGCAGATTTAGAGTTCAAATCCCAGTAATGATAAAATTTGCAATTCTTTTAGTATTATGGTTAACTGTTATCTGTAATTGGTTGGGATAAGATACTTGTAACCTATATCATACCAATATGACTGAAAGATCTAGGCACTTATACAATGTTATATAAAGAAATACAAATTGGTACCAGGCAATGTGAACTCAAGATAAGTCCTTAGGCCATATAAATCACAGAAACTAGGCAGAAAGACAAAAGTCTACTTGAAAGACCCAAGTAAAAAGATAATCTGAACTTTTAATAATACTACTATAAAGATTAGACTTATAAAATAGAGCTAGAACTTGTGAAATCAGACAAATGTACCAGTCTTTAAAAAAAGACCAAATAAATCAATCAGGCTGTTAAAATTTTCAGGTTTTAGAAAAAAAGGCTACATGCCAGCAAACATATAAATCAGAGGTGTATAGTTATGACCTACTTTTTTGGCTATCTAAAATAGCAACTTGGTAGAACTTAAATTGAATACCAAAGTAGTAAGAATATGTTGTGAAATTAGTACTAAGGTTGAGGTAAACTTTATAAAAGCATAGCAGTTTAATAGTATGCCCTGACCACTAATGTTGGTCTCGACCATAGTGATATCAGGTCAGCTGTAAAAATAGGATACAGAAAATTCTGAAAGGTTTAGTACAAGATTAAAGATTCCAAAGAACTGCTTTAAAGACTTAGTAGTCATAGTATATTTTTATCAGCATTGGCCAAAGTTATTGGTAGACAGAAGTAGATAGGTGAATATAAAAACTAAAGTAGTTAAATAGAGAACCTACAAGCAGATTCCAGATATAGCAGCTAGTGTAGAACCTTTAGGTGGACTACTTAAATTAGACAATAACTAAAGTTGTACAAGTAGCTAGTTGTACACTTTTTTTATAATTGCTTCTTGTAGTTGTAATGCAACTATTAGCCAAATATACTATTAATAAAATTCTGAGTTGCAAGTACTTACCTTAATATTTTTAAAAAAAAAATAATAAAGTTCACTATATATTAAAAAAAACTTAGCACAAGAAGAGCTACAATAATCAAGTATATAATAGACAGCCTACTAATACTTGAAAAACTAAACAGAAAAAGACCAGAAGTATACACAACTGCAAAGTGCTAGGTATAGTAGTTAGAAAGAAAGAAACTTAGACATACTTAGCAAGTTATAGTGAACAAAAGAGTTTGTAAAAGCAAATTCAAAAAGTTATAACAACAACATAAAATAGATATAAAGAAGAAGAAAAAAATAGAATTCTATTACAAAGTTTATACAAGACATTCTTTAGAGAAACAGAAGCAAAAAAAATTACAAACAAGAAAGTATTATTAAAAGAACTTAAAATGCTAAAAGTAGAAAAAAAGTTTAAATGACTTTTAAGCAAGCAGGCAATACTAAAGTGCATAGATATAGTAACAAAAACAGTATAAATCATTTTTTATAACCAAGTATGAAAAGTTTGATATAAAAAGATACAAGACTGAAAAAAAAGACCAATATATTAAATAAAATAAAAAAAAATATTCATATAAAAGAAAAGATAGATAAAAGAAAAAAAAAATAAATAAGCAAAAGAAAAAAAAAAAGCAAGCTAAATAAAAAAAAAAGCTTAAAAGACAATCAATATACTTGTTACAGAAAGGAGAAAACTCTCTAGTATGACTTTAAGTAATTAGATAAGCAGTCTATTTCTAACTAAGGTAGTGCAGCAAGTTGTACTTAGATACCAGTAGGGTGGCTAAGTAATGCTAAACTTAGATATTAGAAAATTCTATGTAATTGTATATGTATATAGTTTTAAGAATCTTAATAAAATACTAATATAACTGCTTAAGATTAAAAAAATAAATAAAATAAAATAAAATAAAAAAGAATTAAGTTTAGTTTTTATTAAATTTTATTTTTTTGTTTAAAAAAATTAATAGGTTTTGAAAAATGTTTTTAAAAAATTAAAAAGAATATTTATAATATTAAAATTGTTTTTCAAAATTATAGATTTTAAAATTTTTTTTTAAATATTAAAAATAAGACTAAGCTTTTAACTTTATTAAAATTTAATTAAAGTTTTTATAAAAAAAAAGCTTGCTTTTAAATTATATATAAAAAATAAAGACTCTAACATATAATCTGTAACTTAAAACTACAAAAGTAACTAAAGCTTATCTAGATTTGAGTATTAGTAATAATATAGAAAAAAATGTATTACTTTTATCTAATTCAATCTCACATTATCTTCATCTTAACATTGCTACACATAATCTTAAAGGCTTCAATAAACCTACTAAAAGAGAAGCCTAGCAAGACTATTGTCTTAATCATAATATATCTATTGCAAGTATTACAGAAACTAAAATCTCTAACAAAACTAACCTCTTCTTTTGCAACAATAACTTTTTTACCTACTATTAATCTAATTCTTCTACTTCTATTGAAGACACTGTCATCATGATTCGCAATTATCTTAAACCTCATAATTACAGTATTCATACCTACTCTAGAAATGCTATAGTACTTGATATTTTCTTCTGAAATAATATTAAACTTCATATTATTTTAGTGTATCTGTTATTAATTGACATCTCTATTTGTAATTAAACTCAAAACACTGTTATTAACTGGATTCAACAAGCCTTTTAACTCTACATCCATCTTATCATTCTTGGTGATTTTAATATACAAGATAATATTTACAGTTCTTCTTCTAAATACAAACTTATCAACTTTTTTAATAACACCAATATGTATGATATTGGGACTCATTTTAACAACAAACACTCTACTTGGTCTAACAATACTAGTAGTAGTCATATCGATTACATCTGAACTAATCAATTTAATATACAATTTCTTCTTTCTTACAGTCTTAATAACAGTCAAACCTTAATCTCTAGTGACCATCTTATCCTTTCTTCTATATAGACATTTTTATATGCCTATAGCAAACCTTTATACAAACATACTAGTATTAGTTGCCATATTTTAACTACAAGACTATGTCTACAAAGAACTAAGAATCCTTTGCAGATAGCTTATTTCAAAAACTCTCATTATACAAAACTCTTATCAATAATGAAACTAATAAAAGTATTGAAACTACTTGGCACAAAATCCAAAGCTCTATTATTTATTCTGCTACTTATACTATTTTTAATAAAGTTTCTTACAAATGTAGCTACAATTATCAAATACTCATCCCATAGTACTCTATTATATCTATCACTTAAAAAACTTGATTATACTATCAAATTTGTTAAAAAACTTACTCAACATTCTGATATCTTCAACATCAATCAAAATATCTTTCAAATTAACAAATAGTCTCAATGTGACCTTCAACCACTTAACTCCACCAATTCAACTTGTACTTAATCATGGCTTCAACATGCTTACTCTATCTAGAAACAATTCTTTCATGCTCACTATCTTGAAAACTCTCTTCTATTTTAACAGCAAATTAACAAAGCCACTGACAAAATATATGTTACCTTATAACACATTCTACTCAAGCTATTAATAGTATTCTTAACCATTACCACCAATCTGTTCACTTCTTTAATATAAAACTGCCTAAGAAGCTTATAATTGACCTATTACTTATTAAACAGCATGTCCAATTACACTTTCATAACTGGACTGCATTTAGACCTATTGATAAAACTCACTTTAAAACCTTTTGGCAACAACACTATCTTCTACTGCCTTATATCAATCCAACTTGGTACCAATCTCTTAACTCTTCTATTACAAATAAAGAACTTTCTTAAACACTCTCTTAGCTTCCTAATAACAAAGCCTGTAACTCTACAGGCATCAGTTATAAAATGCTCAAACATATCAGCTCTGAATGCACTTTTACTATTACTAGTCTCTTTAATCACTGTCTTCTTGAAAACAAAATTTCTAAGCAATAGAAATATAGCAAAATCTACTCTATTTTCAAATGTAACTTTTTTGATAATGATCTTAATTTTACTAGACCTATTAGTCTTGTTAAATATATTCATAAACTATATACTAAAATCCTTATAAATAGACTAAGTATTATATTTTCTTCCAACCTTATTCTTTCATCTTTTAATTATACTGCACTTCCTAACAATAGCACTTCAATTTCTATTCATATCCTCAATAATCTCATTGAAGATATTACTTGCAATTATAAGAATATTTGGCTACTTTTACAAGATATAAGTAAAGCATATGATTTTGTTAACTTTACTCTTTTTAAACATTCACTTACCTTAACTTTCATCAAAAACCTTAACTAACTATTATCGAAAAATGCAAAATTACACTTTACTTTTCCATCTTTCCCAACTAGTCTTTAATGAAATCTTATCCTCAATAATTTCACAAATTACACCCTTTCCATCATCAATACCAAAAAACACTCCTACTATTTTTGACATTCTTCTTGTCAACTCACCTATGTCTACTATTAACAGTCTTAAAAATAATAAAATTATCTTTTAGAACAAATCACAACTGCAAATAACAAAAATATTCTTATATGGAACAATATCTACTTATGCACAAATAAACCTAATAAAGGTTGCTAGCCAAAATGGTTTACTTAAATTCTACATCTAAACCAATCTAATACTATAACCCGAACTTGATCTCACATAAACCTTCCTCCTATCAATACCTTTCTGAATATAGTTAAACTAATATCACCACCTTTATCCTCAAACTCTCACTACTTTCATTGCATATATTATATAAATAACTAATCACTATATAATTCCCAACAAACCTCTCTACAACAACCATAATTCTTTAAAATTTTTATACTCACTTCAGGATTCTCTCAACTACTACTAACTACTAACCACCCAACACCAAATTTTTACTCATTCTTTCTATCTTATAACTCAGCCATTAAATCAAAAGATTCAATAATCATCTAAATTGATTTTAAAGAAATCTTAGCTCTAACTCAAATACACAGCACTACTATTATTCAATCAACTCAATCAATACAACCACAAATAATTCTTTTATTTTATGAAGCTCAACTTATTCAACAATTTATTAACACACCATCATATCAAAAGCAACTAATCAATCTAAATCACCTTATCTTCCAACTTAACACAGATAAACTACACTTCTATACTAATGAATCAATCAAAAATTTACAAACTTCAGAACCAAATGTGGTATAGGATGGATTTGCAAATATGATACATCTATAAAATTTAATGCAGCTTTACAATTCTATCCTAACTCAACTCGCATCAAACTTGAGACAATTCTTATCCTCTTATTCATAGTTCTTTCTAACATTCTTTTAAATATCTATATTGACAATACAACTGCAATCAAAAACCTCAACTCAGCTACCAACTTTAAACCTATACAAACTAAAAACTGGAATATTATTTATTATATTAACTATCTTAAACAACTAAAAAACATTACTACTACTCTTTATAAAGTAAAATCACACTCTACAGACTTATTTCACAACCAAGCAGATTTAGTTGCCAAACAAGAAACTACAAAACATATTCTCAAAATTAACAACTCAAAATTTAATACTCAAAACTATTTCATATGAAATAACTATCTAATCCCTATCAAAGTTTGTACCTTTATCAAAAACTCTATAACTATTCAAGAAATTGTCAAATGGTCAAACTTAAAATTTTTTTAAAATATCACAAAAATTAAATGGTCATTAAAATTTAAAATCATCTCCATATTCAAAAATAACCTACAAAAATACTTCTTTTATATCAAAATTCTTACTAATAATCTATCTATTATGCAAAATCTTAATATCTGTTACCTATATCTCTATACTACTCCAAACTGCTCTCACTGTACAAATACTGAAGATACTCTTTATTTATTTTTATACCCTAGCAATACTACAAACTTTCTACAATCAATCAAAAATACAATTCAAAATACTCTAATATTACTAAAAATTATTAATATAACCTCAACAACCTTATTAAACATTCTTCTAAATTTTACATTTTACATACCAAATCCTTAATTCAAATATATCTTATATATTATTACAGGGACCTTTTCTTCTACTAATTATGAAAATATCAAAACACTTATTAACAAACAAACTGATACCCTTCTACTTTAGCTTTCAAATGATCTATTAAACTGGTTTCATTAAGATCTCTGGTCTACTCACAACATATATCAACATTAATAGGAAATATCTCAAAACATTACATCAAAATCTAAACACACTAAAATTTACTTACCAACATTACCAAATCCTTCAAACAATATAACAATCTCTCCTTAAACTATAAATTTTAACTCTTTTATTATCAAATGGCTCACACAAGGTTTTTCACTAACTTCTTGTATTTAATAATATTCAGACAATCACTTAAAGGTCTTCTCTAATCTATTTTAGCTAGAATCTAATTTGAAATAGTTAGCTATAGCATTCACAGGAAATAGAGAATGTAATATCACATTGGGTGCCAATTTGTAGTACAAATGTAGTTTAGAAATCTTTAATTTTAGAACTTATGATTCTATATGTAAAAGTTTCTACTTGAACATTATATAAATAATAATAATAATAATAAAAAAAAAAAGTTATATTGCCAATTAAGGTTTTTTGGTATTGGGTATATTTGCAACATTTTTTATTTTCTAAGTATCATTTCTATCTTAATATATATCTCTGTAAATTTTTTTAAAATTTTCTATATCTGGCTGCTAACTGTCTTGATTAATATATATATAATCTTTAAGATACCAAGTGCTGTATTATTTTTAAAATCTAATAACATTTCTAGTCATTTTTTTTGTTTTTTTTTTTTAAATATTAATGGTAAGGCCATGCCTTTACCTTTATTGAAATTCAATTGAAGTTTTTACAAAAAAAAGCTTACTTTTAAATTACATATGAAGAATAAAGACTCAGACATATAATCTGTGACCTAAACCTACAAGAGTGGCCAAGGCTCACTTAGATTTGGATGTTAGTAATAATATATGAGAGAAAGGTGTGATATTTAATCTATTGGATAGTCCAAAGATCAATTTTAGTGATAATTTGTGATATTAAAATAGGAAGTAATAGTAAATTAGAAGGAGAATTATAAGTTAAGTTTGTAGATGATGTAATAGAAGACTGAGCTAATTATGAAATACATATGGGATCCATAATTGTTTATAGATTTGTTGGTTTAAATGAAGAAGAAATTTAATAGAAAGTGAGATAGCTATACAGTAAGGAATAGAAGTATTGTGAATAGCTAAAATAAGGTTAGTAAAAACTATGCCAGATAAAGTAGAAATAAGAGATGGTGTATAAGAAAGGTTGTGCAGTTGAAAACTGTTAAGTGTAAGAATTTCTT